ACCTATAATAAATAGAATATTAAGTGTTTCGTAACCATTGCTGTGTAAAGAACTATATTTTTATAAGTTACAATTATTTCTTTGTAGCGAACTATCCATAATTCTGTAATAACTTAAAATTTTCTTTTTGTTTTGGTTTCCGAGTTTCTGTAGGATGATTTAAATTAATATTATGCGGGTAAAGCCACTTCCAGAAGCTAGTAAAGCACGAAATATACCTAATCGCGAAGGTAGTGGTGTATGTGCTTCTAACTCTGCCAAGTATCTACAATATTAGTGATGATAAATATTGTTACTTATGATAGATTTGCGTAATGTTATAATGAACCCGTACGGAGCGTGGGCATTCTTCAAATTCTCTGATCTAGAGTCTCCTGTTTGAAGTATTACCTACTTCTGAGACGGGGAAAAACTAGCCTATCCTAATGTTGGTTTCAATTCCACTCTTTTCATCTAGACTCAAAATATAAATAAATAAAAAATGGCTTATGTATTCTGTCTTTGCTATCTTTATAGCACATTATTGCAGCTAAATTAATAAGCACAGAAAAACTTATCACTTTATGTAAAGTTACTATTAGAAGGTAATTAGACTTGATGATAGGCACTAGGTATGTAAATAGTTTATTGTTAACCTAGTAACCGATAAACAAAATATCCTTTAACAAGGGTTTTAATGATTTTCCGTACGTGTTGATATTTTGAAAAACCCATTGCTAGCATGTACCTACCTACAGTGCCATAGCTATCATCAACAAGTTGAAAGCATTGTTTTATATATTTGTTTTGTGGTCTACCTAACGGTCATGTTTATCGGTTTTTAGAGCGAACTAATAATTTTATGACAATTATTTAACTACTATGTTACACGGAGAGAGTGAATGGCTCTTGTTTTAGTACAAATTTCTTTCCAACAACATGTAGTACCTTCCTATTTATTCACTAAAATGTCCTTATCTATGTGGGTTGTGATCAGCATTGATTTTTTACTGGAGCTTGGTACCAATTTATTTGCCCTTACGAATATTTTCATCCTGTGTTCCGTGTACCTTGGAATGTTTTTCATCTCGAAAGTTTAAATAGAAGGCAATTAAATGTGTCCCTATAGGGTCTGGTCTCTTATTTAAAACAAACAAGGATAATATAGCGGAAACGTGATGGGATCTGATTAAGTGGCTTATTATGACTTGATAGCAATTATTGTTCTAACGAAAGTGAGATCGGAATATTTTTTATCTGGTAAACTCAAAAAGTGGTGCCTTCAAATATATTCCTTAAAATGATTGTACAGTACTGAATGCACATGAATAATTAAACGGAAGCGTGGCTTTATCCGATCAAAAGATTTAAAATGAATTAATACTAGAATGGATTGAATAACCTAACCTAACCTAACTTCAAATACCTACTTATTCGATCAGAAATCTGAAAGTATAGTTACAATTTATATAAGTAGATATATAAATATCTAAATATATTAAATTTGAAAGGATTAGGTACCTAAGTTTTCGGGTAACTACGAGACAGGTCAATTTCAAATTTTTGTATGTGCTCGTGGCATCGGGGACATCTTATAAGAGGTTTATGGAAAAATTGTGAATGATGAATGGTACCTAGTGATATGATACGATGCCTTTGGACAGTTTGCCATCCGGCTGTGGGTAGGTACTGTGTACTTGTATTTGCAAAATGGTCATGTACTAGACAAAATAGTACAAAAATGTTATTGCTCAAGAGATTGTCAACATGTGGGATGTAGACCTGGCAATCGTTGTACGGTACCTACCGGTATCGTTGTATAGGTAAACTCCGGACCCGGGACACCTTACTCGGTAGACTTAGGTACCTACTTGCAACCAGCGAGGCAGTCTTGATAAAATAAATAAGAAATATGGTTATTTCGAATGTACTTGTGACATTAAACTGTAAGCTGTTGATATTGGAGAAACCGATACCTTCTGACATCAGGGTCAGTTTTTATAAACTATAATAAAAGAAGATGCTAAATAAAATTATAATGACGCATGTCATCGCTAAGCCATCAGCGGGACTCAGGAAAGTTTCCTTTAATTAAGTAAGTATTGTACAATCTGCTGATCTTAGGCGCCGACGAACGGCGTGGCCAAGGGATCGGTGCCTATACATATTTTCTCACTGTTTGTGTAGCAACCAACCTATACGTATACTGCTTGGCACTTCGACAGGTACAAAATTTTGTCCGTGTTGCCTATTGCTGATCCATGGGCAATGGGCAATACACCCTGACCTCAAAAAATCTAAGTATGTTTAAAAGGCAAATTGTTCTGCCATGAGTTTTGCAAATATCATTATAAAGTAATCGTGTGAATCTGCCGAAATTCCGGTCTCAAAACAAAAGCCTTCCTAAAATAGGTATGAAAGAAATGCCACTTGCCCCCATCGTGGTTCCCCTATACTTATTACACTCTTTGTACTTAAGCAAAGTCAAAGTCAAAGTCAAAATCATTTATTCCAATTAAACCATAAATAGGTACTTTTGAAACGTCAAAATAGAAAAGTAGTCTGTCAGTCTGTTCGTCAGTGAAGCTAGGTGCTCATTCCAAATTGTAGATTCGAATGGAGAAGAACGAGCAAGAAACTCCATTCGTTAAGTACTCTTTTTTTTTTTTAATTGTTTTACAATTTCAATAATATAACATTTATAGTATACATTAGTGTACCCTTACGTGAGAACAATGCAGAGACAAGTTGTTAAAAAAAAGAAAAGCATTTGACAGAGACTGAGCAGGGTTCAGGGCAGCTTCTCTCCGAACCCTAAAATGCGTTCTCCAATCTACCTGTCAAAGTGCCAAGCCAAACATGTGTAATCTATTAGGTACTACGGCCTCCTAATTTATGGCTTCTGTTCCAGAAACATTAAAAACTATAATAGTTCTGATCTACATTTTGGCATTTATAGAAGTTAAACTACTTATACATAATTTTCATCTACATATGAACGAAACCAGACATGCAAACTTTTGCAGTTGGGAAAAATATTAAGTACCTATCTCCCTAGTGTGAAGCGTATGTTTTAACATAAATGTATTTTCATATAATAATATATCAGACGGGGTATAAGGTCACGATATACTTATTATATTAGAAGTAGGTACCTACACACAGCTAAAGGTGCTTACACATTAGATTTTAAACAGTCCATGGAACACCCGATTTTGAACCGTATTCTTCAGTGCTCAGGCACAGGCTGAGCGTTCTTCTGCCTTTCGGCATTAGTTTCTCTCGCACGGCCTTTCTCCATGTAATTCTGTCTGGCGGTATGCGAGGTTGGAGATGGGAAAGGGAATAACCATTAGGCTCCCGTAACCCCACTACCACGACGAAATACAACGCAAGCGTTATTTCACGCCGGTCGCGGTAACCTGGTTGCGGTTGCTGTGAGGCCGAGCCGATCCATTAGTGCCGAAGCATGGCTCTCCCTAACCTAATAAACGATAGGTCTATATCTATCTACACATAAGTTTTATTATTTTATGTGTCTTTCTATATATGCATAATTAGGTACCTAGGTTTAATTCCTACATTATATGATTAATGTATATATTAATTATTATGTAGGTAGACCACTTTATAATTTATCTTCATCAATGTGACATGACCCCAGATATGACTTCTTGGAAAATCATCCTATTTACGTATTCTAAACTGATAGCAAGATTGGGTCCACTATATATAGGAGCGGGATCATAACAAACCTAGCATTTGCCTCGCAGACATCGATCGGTGAGGTCGTCAGACAGCCGTCCGGAGTCTCCCAGAAGGATCAAATTGGCACAAAGTAATCCGACAGATAGCTAATGATATAGGCATAGCCCAAAAGCCTAGCAAACTCTAGTCACAGATCACATCTGCACTGAGAAAATAATCACTACGTTAACACATCTGTTGAAGAACCGATGACCGTTAGAGTAGACTGCAGTAGAGACCGCACGTAATGTAGGGCGCCCTCTAGCCAGTCGAAAGATGAGAAGTGCTGACAGCAGGCTCTCAGTAGCGTGCAATTGAATAGGCCTATGCCCAGCAGATGATGCACACTCTTTATCTACTTGCTTTTACATTTTTGTTAAATTCGATGTTGTAGACACAGTCATGAGCGATTTGATTAACTTTTCTTTGTTTCTGAGATTTCTGACTGGGAAATAGTACGGGGTACTCTCCGCAAGCGTCGCCACCGCTCGATGTGGAAGCACCATAACTAGATATTGATATCACAAAGCGGTTTATGGTAATAGGTACATAATACACTGACTCGGGTACTTTTTTTATAAAACATTTGAATGTATTAATTTAGTCATTTGATGACGATCACACCTCGTGTGATGCCATATATTTTGAAAATTAGATAGCTACTTTTCTAACTAATTCAAATTATAATTTTATTTGTCTTTGATTGATTGTCGATATTCAAATAAAATTAAAGTCTTATTTCAGTTTATTAAACTTTTGAATCCTAATAGGTACAGGAGAAAATGTTTTAGATACGCTTTGCAACAAGTAAGTCATAGGTACTAATATAACTTATTGGATAGGTACCCTATCAATCATCAAGACTGATATGATTGCTAAGAAAGATTATACGTGTAGACGATTAAGAGAGAAAGCCCCTTAGATAGAGTAAGTTAGGTAATTACATGATCTACAGTAGCTAACGGCGAGGTAGATCCGCGTCAAATTATTTTCAATTAATGACTTCATCAGACACAGACAGAACAGGGGATCTTATATACTCAATAGTTGCTCTGATTCATATGTTTTAAATGAGTGACTAACGTTATGTTGCCAATTGATTTATTGTAGGACAGTGGCGCCGGTAAGAGAAGGGGGACTAATCGTCGTGTGTGTCCTAACACAAGAACTAGCAAGGGGTAACGGCAAACAAGTAAAACATTAGAGTTTGGTTATAATTCGTATTGTATTTATCAATAATATATAGGAATAAACTAACAACAATATAAAATAATGCACTTAGTTATACGTTCTACGTTCATTAAATATACGTTTATATATTTAATTCAACAAGAATTGTATTCAATTATAATAAACATGGGTGTTACAATAACAATATTATTTTCTAATAAATTATAGTAGAGCATGTCTCAGGTGCTGAATGTATGCCGTGACTTTGCTTGCGTCGACTTACCTAAGTACTGTTAAATACATTGAGGAAATAACATGAAAATGTAAAAATGTATCACAGCATCGTTTCTACTTTGGGAGAATCGTTGGGCAGCTTTTAGACTAGCGAAGTTGAGTAAGAGCTAACAGCCCGAGTGAACATTAGCGAGTGTCGGGTAGTATCACTACGATATATATGATACAATTACATAATTATACACATAGAGAACAAAGTGTAAGTTTAACATAGAAAGCTAAATACTAAGAGGCGGCTAACACCGACGTTCGTTGCATAACTTCTGAGTACCGGCCATACATTCAGCAGCCGAGCCGCTCGATATTATAACGCGCCGTGTGACCGCCACGAAGCCTGCAGCCAGCAGCCCTGGCTCTACCAATACGCTATTTGGCATGTGGCGCTGTAACGAACAAACTTCGTGACGACATCACAGCACGCATGTATTACAAAAAAAAAAACATAATGCCTACATTCCAGGAAGTAAGGCATAAAGAGACATTACCCTAGAGCAGCGATACTCTGACTGTGCAATCCCGGTCAATATTCTAAATATAGTCGTGGACCGCGACAGCCAACTCAGCGTTACAGGGCATGTAAGCCGGAGTATCGCTGTATTACTATCTACTGGATATAAGTAAAATATATAGGTAAGAACGGCACTGATAAATGCCTCATGTTTACAGTAACATGACCGAATGTAAAATATTAACAAACTCAGTATTGGCACCTACTTTCCGCTGAAAGTTTGGGCAAAACCAAGATATTGTTGTGTAGTGTTACACTTTCAGTACAACTAGCGTGTTCAATATTCACCAACAATAACAGCAGGTAACTTGAGAACCGAGGCAGATGGCGCTAGTGACGACTTTAGTCATTATATATTTTTTATTAATTTATTATACGAATATGAAAAATAGTCCCTTACTAGCGTCACACCACGGACTGGAAGGATGCCTGCCATCACGTTAGAACCGGCCATGGACACCAAAATAATTAAAAATAACGACCATCCCATTCTCATGCTCAATTTGTATGTTTTACAAACAACTTGAACAACGAGTTCATATTGTTGTATACAGGATGTCCATATATTGATAAAAATTATAGGTACTTTTGATAGGTCTATTATCTCAATATAATTATTCTTAAACCGAAAACCAAATAATCAAAGGAAGACAACCAGCCAAGTGGTTCTCAGTAAAATACAGCCATTTCTAGGTACGATGGTACTCCTAGAGTTCAAATTATATCACTTAAGTAAATAGCTGCTATACTCATAAAAATACAGTTTTCATTGTGTGGCAAACATTTTATCAATATAGCAGTTAGGCACCTGTCCAGTCGCGGAAAGAACATTAGTAGGCAGCACGGACAATAAAATACCAAACTTATGTTGTAAACAATGTTTATTCGATTCTAATAAATATACAAATACTTAACAATTTTTACAGGCATTACACTATTTAAATAATTTTCTAAACTTAACATTCTTTCCGCGACTGTACAAGTCTTACAAATAACTTAGATCTAATTTGCGCGTCAGTGTACACAGTGCTGGGAGGCGGCGTCGTGTGCTCACTCACAATCACTACATTAACATTTGTCCCGTGAAACAAATAGAGGGCAAATCCGTACAATCAACACTTCATACATTTTCCAGAAGTTTCCCAGCACTGTGTACCGCGGGCCGTATTTTCCCTCGCTGCATCTCTTCCCCTCGAATTATTTACAAATGAGAGTGAAGACTATATCCTCGCCCATACAGACTTACACTGACCAAAACTAAACTTGATTCTGTTCACAGAAACATTGTGACTTATTTATTATGACTTCGTTTTGTGGTCACACTTATTTATGGTTTGTAGTTACAGTGACAAAACCTGAAGCAGTTAATTGTATGATTACAATTAATGACAGATCTGTAGTAACCTTACACATGCAACAAACACAAGCCGAGTGTTGGTCTGTGTGCGCGCCGCGTCGCAACAAGGAAATAATATTCAGATCTATTTGTCAGAAACTTTGCTACGGTGTGGTCGGGCCGGGTCGGGGCATTGTAACTAGGTGCTTGTGTTTTATCGAGAAGCAGGCGCGGCTTGCGGTCAGCTGGCGCGGTAGTGGCTGCCTCGGCGCCAGCTGGCGCGTGGCGAGTGGCCGGGCTGTGGCGCCGCGCCCCTCAGTACCCCTTCACCGTGTTCCCGTATATATCCCGCACCATCTTCTCGTACAGGCTCTCGCCGCTGTCGCTTTCGTACGTCTGTGGAGATAATGATACATTAGTATACACTTGCCAAACAGGACATTGTACCCACACGCTGATAACGAGGCAGACTGTTTACTACACACACACACACGCGCGCATATAAAGGGTATACAAGTACACATTAACGCGTTAAAAACGAGCACTCGATAAAGTTGTAAGGTTACAGGAAAAAATAAATAGCTGGAATGCGGCGCATGACAAAATTTAAGGATATTTACTCTCGTAATAGCGATAACGATGGGAACTGAACTCCGGGTAGCCCGCCATGGTGTTTTTATTCTGGTGCTCAACTAATCAATAAACAATATAATCACATTGCAACAGACGTGTCACATTGTTTTGTCATTCAAATTCTCGCGACAGATTACCAACATTTTATTTTCAATAACAATGACAAAGTACGAAAACTTGGGATTTTCCGTCACAAGGTTTAGATATTGGTTAGTGCGTGCTTGTAATCTACGTACAATATGAAGTATCGGCTGAATATAGATAAACTGTACGAGATTAGAGGAAGTACACCTGTAATTGCGGGCTTCCCCAATGCGGCTGCCGGAGTAGGCAGCTGTTGCAAGTGTCAAGTGATTACTTACATCATCATCGGAGCTGGAGTCTGAGTCGCTGTCGCCGGCGACTTTGTTGAACTCGCTAGCAGCAGCAGTTTTCTTGGCGTAGCGGCGCGGCGTCCGCTGTGCGTAGTCACGCGCTTGCGTCACCTCGTCTCCGTACCGTTCCCGCAGGTACTTCACAATACGCACGTCGCCACGTTGCGCAGCAATGTGCAGAGCTGTGCATCCCGCTAAGTTTTCCTGAGAACAATAGAAAAATACCATTAGCTATGATTTGAACAAAATTAAATAAAAATGCTTTAGAGATAAAGTTGCAAGAACTTTAACTAAGTATTTAAGAGTTATTTAACATTCAGACGTAATTTCGAGAAAGTTATCACAAATTGTGAAGTTATCAGTGTGAGTAACAGGTGCGTTGCTCTTAATAATCACCAATGGAAAATGTTTGCAAGAAGCTCGGAAGAATATGGCTGACCGCAGGACGCCAGTGAGCAGAGTCGTTAGATAGGTACAGAAACAAATATCACGATGTTTGCAGAACAGAAATGGTGCACAAATACAAAAAACCCCGACGTAAGAGATACCGCACTATCAGCAGATTAACACCTATTCTGTAGCAATGGGTTTTCCGTTGTAGACGTCAAGGAGACATATTTTAACTACGGATTTTGCTCGATTTAGTTTTCCCTAAAATATTAATTCCACTAATTCTTATACCACGATACCAAATACTGAGTTTGGGGCAGGTTTTGGACTTCGGAATGCCGGTTAATGTGTGTTTGTCATCACAAAAAGTTGCTGTTGTTCCGGTTGAAAATGCAAGAAAAATGATTCACATATCTGTTTAGTCTAAGTGGTATTCTGAACTGTCTTTTTCACTATTCTACGATGAGTAGTATCGTCGACTCACTCGCGGATTCTCCACTCATTATTTTTAACCTTTTCCGCATCAAAATTAACAAGAAATAACCGCATTAAGCTGAAATGATTTGTCCAATGGTGTTATTTATTTGCGCTCTGGAATATTGTGAAGCCGAGTTCCCCGCGAGGTGTTCGGCTCGGCCCGAGACCGCATTGACTCATTTTGTGGTTAGTATTCTAGTTGTTCTTAGCGACAGATACTTTTCCTTTTATTTACATCCAAGTTTGATACTCGACCAATTAAAGGAGTCAAATGATCAGTAAGTTGATTTTGACTGAAAGTTTAGAAGGAAGCGAACTTACTTTTGCTTTGATATCGGCTCCGTAGAAAAGTAGGGTCTGTAGTGCGACAAGGTGGCCTGCGGATGTGGCTAGGTGAACACATGCTTTTCCTGCAACAAACAAAAGGACACTTTTATAGATTGTAAGTATATGTACATGCAATAACACTACTAGCTTATGATCACTAAGTAAACCAAGTACATAATGTAAATAATAATAAGGTCGATTCGGTACGCACGAACTGATCGACGTGTACGCAACTGCTGTTTAGTAACAATTTAGATACACCGATAAATATAGTGATAAATATTAATCATTATAATTATTATTTATAATGGAATGTATATACGATAACTAAACAATGGAATATTAAAGCAGTTTGATCTTTAAGAAAGTCAAAACGAATACGGCCGTCTAAGAAAACAAGGTTTTATTTTAGTCTAGGTCTAAACCGTTGAACTAGTTTTTTATTTCAAATTGAAGGTAGATGACAATAAGATTCAAAATACAAAACCTGACTAAATAGATTAGCTAGACTAAAGATAAATCTAGTTTTGTAATAAGGGGAATAAAGTTTAACTCAACGTAAAGTATTGATATGATGAATGAATGACTTCATAGTAACTTATAATCACACGCAATATAAACTTGTTCCAATATATTACGCATACTTATAATAAGACAGTAAGTATGACGTAAGCAACGTTTAAATTCAAATATTTTGAAAATTTACATGTTTTGTGACCAGAACTAGATATAGGTACATGCAAAAAAAGGCGATAATATAAGATTTAAAGTTATTCTAAGTGGTGCATATCATGAAGTCAAATTAACTAGATTTGTATGGCATTAATACCTACCTAACTATATAGTTTAGAAAAACACTAAGTTTTTATTCATATATATACGTCACGATTGAATATAATTTGATTGTGAGCACAGGCTCGCATCAAGCACAATGTGCGAAAACCGAGAACATTGTTTATAGGAACGGTCCATAATAATCGTACTGCTGCGTACTGCGTACAGCTGGAACCGATCCAAATGTATTTAAAACATATCTAAAATAGATCGCTCGCTAAAACGGCCGAGCGCTTTTTAAAGCTCAGGAATTTAGGTAAGCTTTGTATATATAAACTTTTATATTTTGCACAAATTGCTGACAAATCCACGATCTTATCTGATATTTTGTGTTCGGCTTGCAGGAGCGTTTAGTTATATCGGTTTCCAAGCTTACCTAAATTCAATATGTGACGTAGCCCAAATCGTCTGAGTGTGCCATTGTTTGCATAGCGAGATCACAGAATTTGTTAAAAGTAAGGTATCGTATCTGTATCGCCCGGTACGAATGCAATATACAATAATTTGAATTAGGTGCAAAAAGCTTATTGAATTACAGTACATACTAACAGGTTATATAAATACAATAAGATCTAGCTTTACAAGATCAAAGTGCAATATCTGCGTACTCGAGATAAGATTACAGATTAGTTGTGGTAGAATAATTAGTAACTGGAGTGCTGACCATGATGGTTAAAAAACTGAAGAAATGTAATGCGGAATTATTTATGATCGGAAAATTTAGCTTCGGAATGTTTGTAATACACGTAGCATATTGTAGGTCGTGTACACCCGACACATCGGGGATCCCAGAAACCTTGACATGCTTGCTATTTCCTACAAAGCCGCCGCACATAACCATTTTGAGATTCTTATATCAGTACTGATATAATATAACCGATGGTGACATCCAAAAATACAAATGATGTAATGTTTAGAGGTGTCGTAAATACTCACAGAGCCCCCGGTTGTTAAATAATTTGTTTTCCTACTTTTATTCAATGGGTGTGTGAATTGTGAGATTTCATAGTGCAAGGCGAATTTTCAACCAATTGATATTGTAAAATAAACATAAATAAAATAGGTCGCGTGACAAACTAACACATTAAGACTAATTCAGTTGATGACAAGTCATGCTCTGGGAACTGAAAAAATACGTAATCAAAACATCGAAACCGCTGCACGCAGCGTTCAGGCCAGCTGACGTGACTGCGAGACGGATCAAGCGAGTACAAGTACTTTGTTAGTGGCATGTGTACGATGTCGTCACGCGGCTGGCAGGGCGCGGGGAGGCGGGGGCGGGCGCGCCGACCTGATGGGGTTTTCCCAACAATGTGGCGGCCGCGGCTCAGCGACGGGCGACGCACGCGCCTCAACTGTCCTCGCCAAATATGGCGCGCTACCACTCCATTTTCACTATTTCCGTATATCATACAGACACTGACCTCCCTAATTTCTATGACCATTAACCAGCAATGGCCGTTGATCTCGCGGTGGAATTTTTGTATTTATTAGTAAATGTACTTGGTATTTCCCACCACAGTCAACTTGTTAGGTATACATTTTTCATATTTAATTTTGAAGAGAACGCAATAAAATTGTTTGTTATGTAATATACTGTAGTTTTGTGGAGGGACGACATTTTTTCCTTATTTACGAAACGAATCATAAACGTAGTTAACGAACGGTAGGCGGTCGGTGCTAACCGCAGCGATACCCAGGGTAATGCCGATGCGTTGGCACACGACTTGTGCCATCTATTATTAATAAAACTCCTTCAACTAAGTGCAAGAAGTTTTTAGTTATCAAAATTCTTAAGCGTATTCTTTACTCAAATATATACATGGCTCTAAAATATTCCTGCTTAAATCAGACCCGGCGCCGCATTGATAGGCCCCAAACTATATTTAGCAGCTGCATCAACCGTCATGTTCGGTTGTCGCGAGGAGATATTTTCAAAATACCCATACGGAACCCTGGTAACGGCGGCGATGTTTCAACAGGTTTTCTTGTAAAAACCCATAGCCTTGCAAACAGAGCTCACGACTAAACTCTGACAAAATTTTCTACATAAATATAAATTAATTGACATACGCGGCTGTTGCTTGGAGTTTTGGTTAATTCTGTACAAACATGGGGAATAACGTCATATTAATTGTCATACATGCTAGAGCATTCTATTAAGGCAGAGTTTGAGGACACGAGGCGACAGACAATGGCTGCAGGCGGAGGCAGGACGTCATTTACACTTTTAAACTACAAGTACACGCGTCATTTTTGTTTTGGAACCACGCTGGTGTACAGAGCGCTGGATAATCCTCCACCTAGGCGACGCAAGTATGGTTTGACATATTTTCCTTATAGGAACTTCTAATTGTTAAAATTACGCCATTCGAGTGTCACAAGATCGAATTAGATATCCTCTTTTATACAGATAAACTATGAACGGCTGAAGAAGACCCATGTTTACAAGATCAGTTCGCAACAACTTGTGTGACGTAAGCATGTAAAGAGGTGTTGAAATTTTCATGACAATAAATTGCGTCGCAGGACATTGAAAAACCAGGTTGTGCGACGGAAAACCCAAAGTTTTATATAAACCGTACAAGGTTTTAATACCGGTAGATAGTAGGTTTACAAACGCTCACCTATGTAGATAACGATTCTTCAAACATGCTCGTAAAACACGCTGATAAGTCAAAATATTTCAGATCGACCTTTGTTCATTTAAAGAAATTAAATGTATCACAAGTTTCAAACTCATGTTTCTAGTGCTTGCCCTTACACTAACTAATGAATGAGTCTCTTCAGCAACATGTTAGAAAATTACATTGACGCATGTAAAATAATGCCATAATACTATGACTACGATTATTAATATCAATTATTTAAATCCGCTATTTACGTCGGTGGGAAATCCAAATAAAATAACAATTAGAGTTGTTGTCCTTGGTTAGCAAAAACGCACCTATGCCAGAACAAACCAAGAACAGCACTCCAAATTAGTTCCAAGTTAGATGTGTATCATGTTTATAATAAGACATTCAAGAAACCGGAATATCCAAAATACCCGAAATTTCGAGCGGTCACCGCACGCACCGGGTGCTGCACGCTGTACACCAACACGTATAGTATAATGTGCTGGCGTTCAAGTGTTTATTAGTTCTGCATGCCGCACGTAAATGAGAAACAAATAAATTTGAGAATTGACTCAGTTATTTGAGATGGATATATAATTAGAAAGTGCGCTACAGTCCCACGTAACATGTTCATAATACATGCCGCGCTTGGGATTTCCGTCTGTATGTAACCGTGGCGAGGCACACTTTCACGTGGGTATTGCCCGGGCCATCATCATCATACCACCACCATTGTTCCGAGCTACTGACATCAATGTGAACGACGCGACGCCAAACGATTGTGGTTTTCCTGGCTTAGCTTACCTTGCGCTATTGTCGCATTAAGAGATATTACTATATCTACCTATGCAAATACCGCCTTCGAACTGGTGTTTCGAGAAAGATATTGTCAATTAATATTATCACTTTACGACATTTAAAGAGGTTGTCTGTTTGTTAAAAATAAATCGGCAATAAATATACAAATAGCGTACGCGTTGGCGCTACGACATTCATAAGATATTGAAATTGTCCTATCGGGAAAAACCATCTCGCCGTGTCGCCTACTTAGCATACTCGTAATAGCTTTTCAATTAACAGTCGAACAATGGTCGGGGTAACCCAAGCCATGTGTACGGGCCGCTCGACACTGCTCTAGGGGCGTTACACGGTACCAAAAGTTTGCTTTCACTCGGTGAGCGGCCGTCCGTGTTGGTTCGTTACGCGACCGGCTCGTCGTAACGCTGGGAATACCCAACAGCCAACTGCCAACAGCCTCTGAACTCGATAATCTCACAGTCCACTTCGGCGGCCGTTCTCACTGGGCTAACAAGAATTTTTGACCCCACGAGCTCGCAATAACTATTTTTATAAATTAAGCTTTCCAGTTTCATAAAAAGGAGTTTGCCGAAATGTTCCACAAGGTCGACAATCGTACCAAATAAATACATATGCAAATACGTAGAATATTCAAAATTCTTTTATATCAGTTTGGTATGTTGTTTGTTAGCTTGGGAAAACCGGGCAATAAAGAGCGTAAAGTCTTTTTAATGCAGTTTACAAAGGCAGGGAATTCCTAATTTCATTTACTGCGAGTTAGAGATGCTAGAAATGCGTTTTATGCAACTGGGGCACTTTCCAGCATGCTCAGGTGCTGAGGACGTACAGTTGTAATGGCATTGAGCGTAATCGAGACCTTGACGGACGTCACAAGTAGCCTCATGGGCACGGTGCGTTCACACGTAAACAATGTGCGACTTCTTTGTTTAGCATAGGAAACAGGTTCTTGTTGAACCTAGCCACGACTTCAACAGATCCTAGAGAAGCTCCGTATTTTTTCTGTTGTACGTCATGTGCTACTGGTTTGTGTCCGGAACTAGAAGCAGATAGTGCAAGGACAATGCCATTGCACTTGAAGGGCAACTACTTCATACATCATAAGAATGATGTTTCTTACATAAACATTAATAACTCCATTCACATACTTGATTATTAGAAGCTATTGTTTCGTGTTAAAACAAACAAAAAAAAAAAGAAATAACCGTTTTGGCTGCATATAAAACTCATTTGAACTGATTATTATTAGCCAATGGGTTTTGTCTAAGTGCTAAAGAATTAGATGGGGCTATTTAACAAGCACAAAAAAGGTTGCAATTCTAGGTTTTTATGAACAAAACATTTTGTGCACTGCCTGTACCTGGAAAAACCGTTGAGTGGGTTTTTACTCTCAGAGGCCGTGATTCAGATGAACTGCTGCGAACCTTAATGTTGTGTAAGTAGGTAGACGTATGAGAACATAGAATCAGGTTTCAACGGGGATATGCTTTATCATCATATGTCAGCAAGTAAGTACATTTATGGCAATTTGTGGTCTCCGACTTAGTTGTACTTAGTTTTATCGCTGTGATTAGTTTTCTACCGAAAGACGTGGGCCCGTTTTAAGTCATTGAGCTTAAGCTTTGAACTTACAAGGGGCAACTCAACGAAATCACGCTTGAGGTCATCGCCGCAATGGATGATGTCAGGCTGTGGTGCTCATAAACCGATATTATATATATTTGGTGTTGCCGGAACCTAATTCGTATTAGGGTTATTTTCAATCAGACAATTCTGCGCAAGACATTATAATATTATTCTATGCAACTAGACTAAAAACTACGTAGATGATGTCATGTATCGTATGAATTCCTTTACTTTCAGGTGCGTGAATGGAAGCATAGGTGACTACTCCTACCTACTCTATAAGGAACTAATTGATAAGGTGTTATATTATAAACTAATAAAGCTGATATAATTATACTGGTTATTCCAAATTGTTGTAGTTACTCACCATTATAATTCTTTTGATTCAGTACTTTTGTTAGATTTCTTGATGGGAATTCAGGCACAGGCGCAAGTAACGCTTGTAGGCATTCCAAATTTCCTTTTGTTGACGCTTTGTGTAGGGCTGTTTCTCCGAGCCTGTCTCTCGCTTCGATCGAGAGTCCTGCGTGCACTAGCATCCTGGTGACCACGGCATTCCCACTCATCACAGCGAGGTGTAGCGCTGTGTGTCCATCGTCATTGGCCAAGTCCAAAAACATCTTGTTTGGACATATCCTTATGAGTGTTGCTACTGATTTGACGCATCCGTGCACTGACGCTATGTGTAGTTGTCTGTAACAAGGGATGAGTGACTTTGTTAGAGAGCGTCGGTACCAGGGAATCCGATTGATTTTTCTAAATATAGAAGGTGACAGGATGGCGACCTTTACGGTATAGGACCGGTTGCCGGTGCGTGCGAGTAGTGTGGAGTGGGGCCCGGGTGAACTTAGCGGGTACCATGACAAACCCATTCAACATTCGAATCATTCTAGAGCTCTTTGTACGTAACGGACATCAGCTGTAGCAGCAGACGTTACTAGACCTTACTACGCGAGACAAACGGTACCTGAGTCATGCTTATTCCCATTATCATTGATTGTGAGAAAGCAGTGATTACTTGCAAGTAATTTTATTAATAAGTTTGGCGGTCTGCGCACGGCGCGTGTGCGTCGGAGCTGTGTTTATCAACGTGCTTATAGCAGGAACTGTTTACGAATGCTAATGATGTAATAAGTGAAGGAAACATAAACTTCCTAGTGGGGACAACCAGTATTTGTGATTTTTAACTAACATGATTCATAAACATAAAGTCTCGCTGCCAGAGGCCTCATCATTATAATAACTTTATTTAAACAAAATTTACGAGAAGCAAATTGGGTCACAAACACAAGGCAACAAAAATTGCTGTGTCATCAACACTCATTGGATTTATTGGTCAAGCACTTGATATATAAAAAAAAATCTGCAATGTTATATTCAAGACTGTGTAGGATTTTTTATGTCAAGTACCTGTTTGAAGTAATGGATAAAAATATCTAAAGAACATTACTGGTAGGTAATAGCATAAAACTTTCTGAACAAAAATGTTTAGGACCCACTATTAGGTTCTTCTATCAAAATTTTTAAATTTATACTCATTATAAGGCACTTTAATAAACAATGAAATTGCTCCATGAACATTGCGTGAGTGAATCAATACAAAATGTGGTTATTCCCAGATTTATCAGTGTTTAGCTATACACTTAATACAGCACTGATAATGGGAAATTTTAAATTTGCTCATGATCATGTAGGTACATTGCATGTTTCTGATACAGAAACATATTATCTAATCAGAAATATAATCATGCAAGTAATTAATAGTTTATTCCACAACTACTACTGGTACTATCTTTAATTAAACATAATGTTCACACAAATAGGCCCTGTAAAGCAAGGGTCCAAATTTTAAGGGAGGAATATTGTGCAGATTGCAGCAGATCAATCTTCCTGTAATATAATTTCAAGTTTATTCCAAAATACTTAATGTTGAAAATCTATTGCAGATTGGCTAACTTGATTAAAAGTGTGTATGCTTTGCTAATATAGATTTATCTGGTACATCTGGAATCTATGTTGATCATACTTTCACTTCACATAATCGTTAGCTGACATTTCTCCCGAGGTTGATATTATAAAAATGATTCAGGACAGCTGGTACTATACACAATTTTCACCATAAAGTCGCTTTACACAATTTAAGAGCAGTGCTGTTATTTCTAAATATACTGAACACATGTTATAGAAATACCGCTAAACCCTATCAAATAAAAAATAGAAATGAACCACTATCAGCACACTACTATATACTGAGCCTATTAATGTATGTTGAACTTCTTTCTGTGCAAAATTATAACAAGTTAGTCAGTAAATGGTGTAAAGGTGCTATTTACCTACTAAGTACTTCAGTTGTTTGTTCAAATATTAGTACACATGACGTTTTCACAAGTTAGTAAATGACTGATTTACTTACGTATCTCCCTGTTCGTCTGGCGTGAAGAATAGGGTGATAGGTGGGATGTTCTTCTGTTCAGGAGGTGATACGGCGATGTGTGGGGTCTGCGTGTCAGTGAGCTGCACACCCGACACAAGCTCCGATAAGCACAGAATACCACTATCGTACTCGTTATCGCTGGGCTGCACAGCACTTACACTTTTCACTTTCTTATCCTCACTAGCAGGCTCGGGCTCGGGCTCCGACTCCGCATCAAAAGGACACACGTCAATAGGTCCAGATAGAAAACCAGAATCGATGTTCTCGTCCTCCGCAATCTTAGTATCGCTCCTCTTACTTGCACTCATTTTGTTGATTTAATTTTAGTCACACTTAAAACACTAGTAATGATCGGAATGTACGAATGGTTTTTTTGCACTAACTGTGAACACTCATTGTTTAATAAAATATGCGCGTAGTAAACAACCAATCCACAATATTATCGCATGCGCAATGAATGATTAAATTCACAGTGATGAATGATGATGGCTCCCGTCTCCTCCACTAGTTTTCGTGCGTTCGGATAAGCACACAATGTGTCTCACTGACCGTTCTGAAGCGAACTGAACGCCATCTTTATCATACTTTTCCTTAAATACCCACTAGCCAACTACGTATTATTACGCGTTCGTTTATTGTTCATAACATCAGTTGGGCTAACCCGGTTCATGAGAAAAGATAATTTCAAGATAAAGATTTAGTAATTCCAAATATTTGCTTGAAAGTTAATAATTATTTAAAAACTATGATAAATATTTTAAAGAAATGGTGAAGTAACATTTTATTAATAGTATTTTATTAATAATTTGGTATTAAAACGGAAGTTATTTTATGACAAAAGTTATTTCATTGCCCAAAGGATACACGGCAAATTTTGTTGAAACATAACACACGAAACATTTTTTTTTTATCTGACGAAGCATTTATTGGGTACTTTATTTTTATTATTTTAATTTTAAATAAATTAATGAAATGTGATTTTATTTTTACGATAAAAGGGCTTATTACTTTTGTGCTGTGTATCCAAAATGATATTGTTCGTTTTTGCTTAAACTGTCAATGTCATGTTTGTATACAATTTACGTCAAACGGTATTTTTCATTGGCATTTGTTGTCAGTTAACTTTATTTTGCCGCCTTAATTTATAAAATATTTACACTTATTTATATTTATTATGCACTTACACTTTTTATAATTTGTGTAAACTTCGTTTTATGGTAAATTAGATCCTTTCTTTTCTAGAGAGACCATGTTTGCTGAAAAAGTCATAGAATTATTGAAAGAAGCAGAAAGAAATCCAGTTACCATCGATCCCTTTAATGTGAGTTAAGTTTGTATTTGAATATTGTACACGCTTATATGAAGGTACTGTTATTTCATCAGTTTTGTTTCAGGATGATAAGATACGGCAAATATTGGAAGAGATGCAGACTTTGTTCAGGATGAATATGAATGATGCGTAAGTAAACTGCACATATCCTAACCTTTTGTACTCTTATATTAATAAACATTGACTTGATTGATGGCCCTCTGTATTTGACAAATATGATGATGATATTCTTTTGTACTTAACTTGAAATCTGCCCCTAAGGCTTGATAAAAAGACTGTCCACTTGATAAAAGATTTCTTATCATTCACAGAAATGCAACAATGGAAAATAAAACTCTATGGACCACAGTGCAGGTGAGACATTCAGCACTAGAACGGAACAAACGCTGTCTGCTTGCATATCTCTACAGTAGAATGGCCAAGATTAAGACATTAAGATGGGAATTTGGTGCAATATTACCTGCTGATGTGCGTGAACTCCTATCAGATGATGAATATGAGTGGTTCACAAAATATTCTATGAACTTAGCTTCATATATGAGATCATTGGGACAGGATATAGGGTATAATGGTATTGACCTAACGGAAAACCTTAAACCACCAAAATCTTTATACATTGAAGTTCTATGCATGGCAGATTATGGGAAACTGGAACTGGAAGATGGTGATGTAATCTTGTTAAAAAAGAATAGTAGACATTTCTTGCCAACATCAGAATGTCAGACACTTATCCGACAAGGAATATTAAAACAACTAAGTTAAGTATTTTAAATTTTAAATAAAAGAATATATGGATGCTCAAAAAGCAGCAGTGTTTTCATTTCAAACTAAAGTACATAGTGCTTTACAATCAATTAATAGTTTACAAATGCCCCTTATTATAGTAATTCCCAACTCACTTTGTTTTTTGCAATGTGTTTTATGTGCCTATGTTTAATTATCAGATATTACTAGAAATGTGTTAATTAAATGCCTAAATTACTGTTGAGTTCCAAAAAGCTATGAGTTTTTGATAAAATACAGGTATGGAGGAGAGGGAAAGGATTGGGCATCCGATAACCACACTGACACGATGAAACACACCGTTATGGTTGTTTTACAACCACCTTGCCAGTGCATTCGTGCAGAATCATGGCTCTCCCATATTAAAATTAATTAAACAAATCCTTACGTACCTAACTATGACTTTTGATGAGGTAAAAAGCACAGTGTTAGCCATGCCCCAATATTGAACTGTCGTATGTGGTAAGTCACCTATTCCTCGCAGTCTGGGTCTCTCTTTAAACGATCCTATGAAATCTAATCCAACTATTGTTTTTTTGCTGATAGATGAGAGGAAATTTTATTGCAATGAGCATGAGGTGGGTACTGCGAGAGGAACTTATAAATGTTGTTAATTTTGGCTTCTTTTTATTGTTTATAATCAAATTCATATTTACATTAATAAGTAAATGTATGCAACGGTTTCTTTTAAATAAATGATACAAGGCTGCCTGTTACTTAATTTCATGTTCAAGAACTGCTTAGGTACTGGGGATGCGGGCAATGACGCCAGCGTATTGTTAACGTTAGTGTTAAGTACCCAATTGCGAAATAGTACAAAATGAGCTATACCTAATTTAATCTTAGGTATGTGCCAGTGGCCATTGTAGTCTCGGTGATATGCATAGGTGGCGAAACGACCATCTGAACGCTAACCGCGCCAGGTTGCCAAATGTCTAGAAGTTAAATTTTTACATTGAAATTTAAGTGCTAGTATTATATAATAAATGTAGATACTAAGTAATCCAGTGTTACAACCTATCAAAAGGATTAATTCGTGCGCTTGGATAATGATGTGACATGATGAGTTGATAGTATTGTTTATACCTAAAGCTTATAACATGAATTCCCGTACAATACATATATATGGTAAATATTTATGTATTAATAAAATTCTTCATAGTCTTCGCTTTCAGTATAAGGCAAGTAGGATTATGTGGGGTACTTACCCTACAAATCGGTTTACGCACTTAAGAAAAAAGCTCCTAGATGCCCAAAGTTACCGGAATTAGTAGGTTATCAAATTTTAAAATATTTATCCACATCTGGTAGTCAATAGCAACAGTTAATAGGTCCAGTTCAAAATGTTGTTTTTGAGATACCTTTCATTTGTTATTTTTAATATTAGCTAGGCAGGACACACCCACTGATACTCGACATCGCGCTCGCTTTTCCAGACGTCAAAGAAATAAAGAGACATTCCAGCTAGTATTTTATTCAGTCGGTTTCGTCCAGCCAACCTGTGCTTTTCATTCTTGGCACATTTTTATTCCGCTTCCAGTTGAATTCAAGTTTTTTTTTTGTGGCCACTACGTACCGCCTGGCGGTGACAGTTGCCCGTCTGCTTGCCAACTTCGTTACGTACAAAAAGTCACAGCGTTTAGCGCGTTGTCGCATTTCGTGAGTTGCAAACTAAGTAAACGTGGATTTTTTCGAAAAGTCGTCCTTTTTGAGAGATTTGTTTGGTCTCTTGTCTAGTCCAAATTTTTTTATCCTTCTTTGTATGTGTAGGTATAGCTAGTTTTAAAAATGTATGGTGTACGGCGTAGGTATATGTTTCAGAAATGTCTAACAGTTATTTTTCTCTTACGTTACTACATCAACTTACTTAATCCTTTTAGAGTTTTCCATCTGAGCCCCAATCTTCATTACCACCGTTGCGCTCTACCCCCTCGCAGCGCAGGCTTATTTTTAATTAAACCGTCGAAACGACCGGCTTTATAGGTTGGCAACGATTGACCGTCTTGGGGTTTCAATATGTTCCGTCTTTCAGCGGACAATGGGTCCGTTAAGCCGCGTACGAACCGGAGCGCCGGGAAGCCGGACTATAACATGGTGCACGAAGCTTACATCGACAAATTTTGAAATTTACTGCTGTCGCTACCCCAGCCCGTGTAATGTCTCGCTTAATATCGACTTTGCAATTTACCGCGTTTGTTTTGTGTTATGTCGAAATAAAAGTTGTCTATGATCTCTGCGGCGTGGAAAGCAATGAATATAGTACCTACCTAATTGTTTTTAGCAGCTGATATTTTCTATTCAGAAGTACTGTGAAGTACACCACCTTTACCAAAATAAGTTACTTGCTGTTAACTATAGTGTTATCCTTTTTCTCCAAGAAATCATAGAATAGAGAAGATAAGGGACCAATAAATGTGAAGTTAATGAAACCTCACCCAGTTTTAGCCAGATATTATTATGTAATACCTAATTACTTACATGCTTAATAGTTGTTGTAAGCCGTAGATAGATGATGCATTTCGAAATTTAATAGTACGTAGGTATCTACAAAAAATCTTACTTGGGTAAATGCTAACATCGAGAATACTCATGATAGTCTGATAAATAACAAGATATGGAAAATACGGCAACTCGTAAAACACACGCCGGGAGTCACGTAGGTAAACACACCATTTACACGAGGCACGCGTAGTTTCCGTGGAACACCTACAGCCAATTAACACACCTTATTAATTATTGTATACCTATCTATCTTATTTTAAGCTACTTGTGATTGTATCTACCTACTTATACAAATATCTAGATAAAGTAGATTTTAACAAAATAAAGATTCATAGCGTTGACAATTAGTTACCTGTAATGAAAACATACCTATATCTAGGTACATTTTACCTAAGGAGTATTTTCTCGCGATAAAATTATGTTTTCAGCCCTGGATGAGGCGAAAAGAAGTGTCAGACTATTATTTGATGTTTATAAACCACTACGTTTTAGCGTGACGTAGGTGTCCCTGTTGATATGCCTAATGGCAGGCATTGCAACACAGGACTACAGAGCAGGTCTATAAGAGAACCTGATGACCCATACAAGTGATGAGGGTGGCCACACTCATCGTGGGAAACAATGGTTAAACAAAATAACCCACAGACATAATGACTAAACGTACCTGGGAGTCATATTTGCTTTCTTTATGACCCAAAAAGTGTGAAACCCATAACATATTAAGCACACAAATGAAGTTTATACATTCTATAATTTGCGATTTCCTTTTCATTTATATTTTCTGCAAATGCAAACTCCTTTTCTAAAGTAAATTCTGAGTAACTTTGTAAATAGCACGTTTTAATGTGCTATTGGACTGTTCCAGCAGTCGAATTTTGTCTCCTTTGGTCTAAACTTCTAGGGATGTTCTGGAATAAAATTCACGAATAGATAGCTAACATAGAAAACATTCGACAGTGATATATCAAAATAACGGCCATAACAGTGATTGATGTGACGAAACTCCGGCGGAGAGAATATCTGAGCATCCGTGCGGAGAATCCCACTCCATGGGTAAAGGTCGTTTGTTTCCTTTGAAAGTGCACATGCACTTACATAGGTAATAGGTAACTACCGAAGTTTTTCTCGAATCGTATGCTTACGAAAAACCAAAGTCAGTGACCAAATTAAAAACCTAGGTACGTAACGTACTTAGCTATAATTTTTTTTTCATTAGTTACGTTACCACATAATTATCTGCGGTTACCTACTATAACTTTACGCCCGCGGTACTGAGATTAAAAAAGTGTCTTTTACGATTTATTCTAGAACTATATTTTTTACCTCTGTGCCAATTTTCATCCGGGATGGGTGGATCAAGTCGTTCTAATGTTAAGTAATCGTTAAATCTGAGGTACCAAGTTTAAAAATCGAATATAAATGAATCCAAAAGGTGCCTGTGCCTGAATCGCTCGTATATATTTTTAGGATATAATTAAAGATATTGCGATTAATTACCTAATCATTTCATGAAAGCATATTTTATTTGCATAATAAATGCTAGTTTGCATTCTTGTTTAATCTTCTAATATTGCAGTTGCGTTATCTGGATGAGCGCAAACATCATCCAATTTGGATTAGCAGTTCAAAAGTCTCGGTGCTTCATTCTTATTAATACACATGTAAGTTAGTTTGATTCGCGCTACCATTTGTGATATCAACTTTATGTAAGTATCTCAATCAGTTGTAAAAATGAATAAGATTTACCTAAATGAATGGACAGATTGCACCTATGTACTTACATACTAACTCATTATACTTGCATATCTACGTACCTACAGTTTTCTGCGGTATCAGACTGCCTTATTTTCCTGTTTCAATCAAATTTTACAATCTTAATTATCAACGTCACAAATTTGGGTATACGATGATAAAATTTTGTTTTGACTGTATCACGCTACATACATGCTCTCTTAAATATCTACACATTGATTGACATCTTTGACTCACGCAGAAATATCTTTAACTTCCAATTTCAATACACATGCATGCATCCTTATAAACACGGTGCCTCGTGTTTTTATTCTCTACTAGCGGCCCGCCCCCGCTTCGCACGGGTCCAACTATCTCGCTATCAAAGGGTCACTTTCTCCTAATCTTCCCTTCTACTGTTCTAATACTTTCCTTGATAAAAACCTTCTCCTGACAATAACAAACACAACAAAAAATTAATTAGCAAAATTGGCACAGGCGTTGTTGAGTTATGCGCTTACCAACACGTTTTGCGATCCATTTTTATTTATAAAGATATCTATAAGTAGCTAAGTTCTAACATCCTTCTTTTATACACCACTGCTTTCATCCAATCTTTCAACATGTCCAAACTATCTTAACATCTAATCTATCCTTAATTGTCACTGTGATTACATAGACAATTTGAGTGCTATTAAATTTCAGTGCTATTTTTAGTTACTTCATGATAGGTTTATTGCAGTGTTTAGGTATATCTAACAGCATGTTATCGGTTCGGTTT